TCAGTGTTGGGTTAACAGCTTGTTCCGCTGGCCTCAAATGTCCAAAAATAAATCACATAATTCTAAAATAAGACCAGAAACATGACAAAAATACATGTAAATTGACAAAAAAAGAACCACAGAAATTACAAGAGGCAGACAAACACCTCATTTGAAATGACAAGGCTATGAGGGCACAGTGGTGGGTGCAGGAACTGAACAATCGAGGCACACTTAAAGAAAACAGCAACAGGAAAAGCACATAAAGAGCATAACAGTAAAAGAAACAATCACCAGGTTTAGAGGCAGCTGCACTCATTCTCACTAAGAGGTCCTTGACAATGTCCTTGAAGGAAGTTTTTCATATTTTTTGAAAATAAATATCGCGTCACTGACAACAGAAGTGAGAACTGAGGAGCTGCACCTTTGGGGATTTCCTCTGTATGTGAAGGACGCTTGTTGTGATATGAGTGAAGTTCATAGGAGATAAATCAAGTCTGAGGGGATTTAACGAATTCTGTTAAATATGAGGAGGAGTCATGGGATTTGTTAATAGATGTGCAATCTGTTCTGGTTTATGAATAGAGATTGTATGGTGCCAAAGCAGGTACACACTCTGATCTTTCTGTCATGACCCACGTTACCAGAGAGATTTAGGAGGACGAGGATCGTTTCCACAGACAGAATGAAGCTGTTCATACCCGACTCTCTAAAATGGTTTAACTAAAACAACTGGTCGACACTCCTTCCTACTCCTACGCAGTTTGTCATTCTAGGCTTCTCAACATCTGCTAACCTATTCTGAGCTGAGCAGCTGCTGTAGTTTGACCTGAAGTCAATCTGGCAGAGAGATAACACACTAAAAACTTAAGCAATTGTCTCACTTCTCGACATTTTTCAAGGACAAACTGAGATAAGCTGCCTAAGTGCATGTCTGCCTTATGCTGCAGGCATTACTGTAAATACTTTCAATTTCAAGTTGTCTCCTTGTGTCTCAGGACACACGTAACCCCAACCTTTCACAGGCTGAATCCATTCATCACTTAACTAAAAAGCTTTTTCCATCTCAACCAAGATTCCCAGGCGCTTCACCCTTTAATGAAATGGCCTCAACCAGCAAATCATCCAAACATCCATTGTCCTTAAAAGGAGTGCTGTATGCTGCGTTTCACTCACAAGTTAATAAAGACTTCCCATGATCGGGCTTAAGCTATACGCTTTTGAGGCGATGGAGAGAGGCTCCCGAGCGTTTCAGCCAAGCACGAGGCATTTAAACTGAAGATCATAGCCTTTTTTGCAGCCTGACGTCATCCTCCCCTCACCCACCATGGCGGAGCTGCTCTGTGAGCACGCAGGGCCAGTTTGGTGCGTTGCCATCTTGTTGATCAGATTAACATGCGAGATGTCAGAGCTTGCAACACAAGAGTATAACTGGAGTACAGCTCAACCAGTGTTCAGGGTGAAATCTATATGTTCAGTAAAGTCAGATGAATTCACACGGTAGCAGTATTTTTGCTCCTAAAACATGCATGCATGGAGCACAGATGTGTGGGAAAGAGTCATACAGGCAGCAGAAAGGGAAATGAAGGGGAAAGAATGGATGGTAAGGTGGGAGTCATGCTCTGCGGTACCAAATAAATGGGTCCTGAGTGTGAACATAAACACCGAGATAGTATATTGGCAAAGACCTTGTTCCACAGAGAGGGGCTGTTGTAGGTGAAGGTTTGAATCCCAGTTGTTTTCTTTTAAAATACATACGTAATGGCCAGCTGTCCTTCGTCCAGTGAGTTAATAGGAAAATGCATATCAGGGAGGAAGACTTTATATCAAGTGTGTCATAAAAGATTGCAACTGCTGTAACATGTAGTTTCTTTTGGTCCTATAATTGAGAATTTACAGTTTCCAAAATGTGGTGTGAACTGCTGGAAAACAGTTGCTTCCTGCTGAGTTCATTGGCATCTCTGCAGCGTGACTGAACCCATTAATAAGAGATTTTGTCCATGGGATGATGAGAGGGTTCAGAATATTTTTAAGTGGCCATGATGGAAATTTACCTTTTCTTATTGGCAGTATTTCCGACTCAAAGGACACTGTGAAAACAAAAATCCTTCATCGTGTTTAAAGCCACGATGTTTAATATTTGAAACCTCCCAGTATCAAAACAGACAGAAATACCCGCGTTACTAAAACTACCTGATAATCAGACTAAATGACTGATCTATTCATCTTGCTGACGTACTTTACAGTCACCGTGGAAGCAAGGAGCAGTTCTCACAATTATCAAAGAAATATGCATATTGGGTGTGTTATTTCTCTATGCCGAATGACAGCAACCTCCAAAGCTGCATCCATTTCATTCACGCTTGTCACCATCGTCCTACATAGATGTATCTATCTAACTAGCTAGCTATATAGGAACGTGACATCCACAATGTTCAGGCGGAAATAGACTGAGCACAGCGTCAGACCTGTTTGAAACTCTTGAACAACTTATGTTGGACATTCAGAGATCTGGAACCATCTGGAATCAGAAATAATGTATTAATCCCAGAGGGGAATTGGTACGTTACATTTGCTCTTATATAAGAATAAAGAAATATAAGAAAATTAGAAATAAATGATTTTTGTAAATGTAAATGAAGAACTATGTAAGATGTAAATTATGTACATAATGCTAGAATATACAACACAATATATGAAGAGAACACAAGTAAATAACAAAACCAAGCAAGGAAAAATACAAGAAGTATGTGCATCAAACCCACACAACATACAACCACTGTGTAAATAAGTGAAAACATGTATATGTATTTTATTTCATTTCTAAGAGGACAAATGTTTTATTTCTTCTTTCAAATGCCGTATACTATTGCTTTAAAACACGCAGAAACTGATATTAACCTGTAGTTTTATATGTCCACGTTCATTGGCCCACCCTGCAGCCTCTATATTTAAATTAACACAGTGGAAGCCTTTGAGAAGAGAATGACCCGTCACAAGCTTCACCAGCATGTAAGGAACAGTTGTTGCATTTCTTTCCATAAAGTTATAGGTAGCAGGCAGTAAACACTAGCCTGTGTCTTTCTCAGCTGGAGCCCAGGAACTCCTCTGTTCCATAAATACAGGAATTAAAGGCAGGATCAGGAGTGAGTAGGTGACTGGGCCTGGGGTGTAGACACGGGTGGGGCAATTGGCAGCATTGATCAAGGGATAGTAAAAGCTGAGGCCAAGTGTTACCGGACGGCCTCTGGCACTTCTAATGTGAGCTTGCTGTGAGTCCTGAGAGCTCTCCAGTCAGTCAGCGGTGTTTCAAGAGGAAAGTGACCCTGTATGTGCACAATAATAGATGCTCTGTTTAAAAAAAGAACAGAGCACACTAGTTTAATGGAAAGATTATGCCTGTTTACTTGCATAAAAGACACTCTTTAAGCATGAAATTGTTCAAAAACACCGCGTTTGATTTCGGGTCGTTATGTCCCTAAGTTCTCCTGTGGCTTTCTGAAAATGTGAGATAAGTGGTGTGAGTTTGTGGCAGTCAAGTCTCAGGGGGTCAGTTCACTCAGAGGCCAGTGGACAGGGGCCATTTCAAGCATTCTGCTTTAATGGCTGTTGAGGCGAGGGCTTCGCTGGTGCCTCACATAGTATTCCAGCACTGACTACAACATTGTGTCGTGTTACCTCCCAGCTGAGCCGACATACTACTAGAACAACACGGTCTCTATAAGTTTAATGAGGCATGAACTGCAGTCCAGTGAAGGATGTGAGGTCAACCTCCTGCCTCAGCCTTTCTACTGACCAATACTGGCCAAATAATGTTGTCATTTTCAATTAGAGCTGAAGCAGTTAGTGGATTATTTGATTGACAAAATTATTCTCTAACTATGTGCTGTTTTTCTTTGTTTTTTAATTGATTAGTCACGATTAGATGATATTAAAAATACATTTTCAACTATCAGTGGTAGAGCCAATCAAATAACGACAGAATATCTCTACAAACAGATTTTTTTCTGGTCCATGTCTTTATCTGTGCGCAGCACCATTTCCCAAATGTCTATTCATGTCCTGCACTAACGTCGACTCTTTCCTGCTCTAACTCTCTCCCTGTTGATGAGTTGGGTGTGCGCTCAACTGGTGATGTATTCAAAGCCCAGACTGGCCCAGTGCCTGCCTGAGGAAAGAGGATGGGTGGGTGCCCACTGGAAAATGCTGCGATAATGGACCGAAGGGAGACAGTGCGAAAGAACGAGTGGCCTAAGTGACCACCGGAAAACAGGGAAGACTTGTGGGGTTGTCTCCATGTTGGTGGACATCAGTTGGGCACAGGGATACAGGTTGCATGGAGCTTGTTTGTTCTGCTGCAGCTTTTAGACACTAAGATCCCACCAAGCCGCCTTCAAAGAGTTGAGTTTAACTGCAATGGACAGAAGAGATCACTATCTGCTTTTCCCATGTACGTCTATCAGCGCTGTCATCCAATGAAGATATGGGATTTGATCACATTTAGCTCTCTGTTTTCATTCCGTCTGTATTGTTTCCAAACCTGATGCCAAATCAAACACTTCATTTGTGGTCTCAGATGGAGCCGCCAAAAACGCAACGATATCTCTCAGAGGCAGTGCCAACAGGTTAAAAAAACGATCCATGTGTTTCCTTTGCTGGAAACCTAGTGGTGGCCCTGCTTTTACTACTTTCAGCATAATGACAATAAAGAAATTGTAATTAATCAGAGAGCGTTTCACTCGTCTATTTAAACCAATTCAGATAATTTTGTGGTTTATCAGTATAATTACATCTGCGTTTAACCCTGTGGATCTTTCGCACAGTGATTACAGCGATAACATCACATCCAGACTGTATGATCCTCCGATAATCTGCAGTGTAATCAGTCTTTGCGCTAGTCGTCAATTGGAGAAAGATGTTCAATTACCATAATCGCCCAGGCTGTCGCATGACACTTATTTCTTTGAGGTTTCACATTAGTTTGAATAGTTTTGTGGCCTTGTTGTTTGTGCTCTGTGCAGAAAGATGTGAAGGACGTGTTCACAGCCATCACGTTCGAGGTGGCCTACAGCCTGGGGAGGCATGTGCTGTCGGGACACCAGGAGCGAGACCTGCCCGCGCTCACTCCTGTGCTACGATGGAGGAAAGGAAACGAGATCGCAGCGAGGAACGAGGTAAAACTTTGAGATGAAATGATATGGTGTTTGGGATCAATATTGTTTAAATAGATGTAAGTAGTCATTATCTTATGTTGAGGTGCCAAAGGTTTCAGGGCTTCTCAATGTCTGATTTTCTGTGGTGAAAGTAAGTTACCAGAGAAAAAGATCTTTATATGGTGGTGCGGAGGAGGGTGATAATTCAAAATGCACACTGATCATTGGACATTTATTTTCCTGTGGTTGGACTTTGATATACAATGGATGATTGAAGTTGTTATCAATGAAGAAAAATAACATTCTGGCCCCACAATGAAGTACATAATTCATTGTTCTGAGCAAGAAAATGAGCATCACGGAGAATGTGTTGCTGTTTCATTTAAACCTCTTTCAATTTCGTTTTGATTTATTTTGATAAATTGTTCAGATACCGCATCATCTTTGATGGTAATGCTTTGGTTCAGGCGTGCTGCAGCTGATGAGGATAAAAGGATGATCACTCTAACATAGCAGTTATTTTCAACTAATTCAGATTATAGTTCATCTCTTCAATTGATTATAAAGAATACATTTTTTTCTTCCCTTAGACCACAGAAGAAATGAAGGAAATAGCCCAAATTGAGGTTATAATGATTTGGTGTGGGTTACCAGCTTATTATTGTCTGTGTTAGCTTTTCTTGAGTGAAATCCAAAAAGACAGATTCATTTATTTTCTTTGCGACCACCTCTAACCTGCTCCACATGTGTTTCCCCACTGTCTGCACTTCTTGAAAAACGGAGGGATTTGCCCCTTTCAGCACCTACAGAATCCATTTATCTGAAGCTCCTCAACGTTACATCGAACTTTACCGCTTGACTTAAGTTTCCTTTCATGATTTAGCCTGAAACCAAAGACCATCCTCTGACTGATTAGAAGAGAGACCAGAAAGAGTAAAGATTGTGTCCTTCCCAGATAAAAGAAATCTACTGGATAGCTTCATCAACAACACGATACTGCCCCCTAGTCTGAATGTGGAGTTAATGTGTTGTGTGCGTGATGTCAGATTAACTGTGTACTTTACTGTTTCCTCTCTAGACTTGGTTCGAGAAGAACTGCCTGTCAGACGACTGTGCTGCAGATCTGAGGCTTCACGGCAAACTGTTGCTCTCTGGGTAAAAAACATCGACTTCCTCAACAGTTTAGATTCATTCTCTGTCTGTTTCTTCAGTCCTGAGGAAGCAAGCTGTCGTCATAGGCCATGTGGGTGTGGGTAGTGGAACCATGACGCATGCTTGGAGGATATCCATATGTTTTTCCATACTTAGGGAGTTCCCTTTCTTTTTATTGTGTATATTTTGCTCTTTGTACATTTAGTGACAGCATGTGTGTGTGTCATGGGGAGCAGTAGTTTTACATCTTCTTTGTTGTAGCCTGAAAAACAAGAATTGTAAGGCCACTCTTTGTTAACTTTTAAAGCAAAGATTTCAAAATAAGACAAACTTAGATTTGATGTTGATATAAATCTTTGCTTACTGCTCCTCCTGTGACATCCCACAGTTGTCATAAGAAGCTTGTTTATTCTCTAACATGCATTGTTTATTTTATGTTCCCATCAGGTTTCATAGCATACCCCATTTGGCCCTCGGAGGAGTGAAGAATGTCTCTTTGAACCTGACCATCTCTAACGCTGGGGACGACGCCTACGACACCAACATCTACTTCAACTTCTCCAGAGACGTTTTCTACATCAACTTCTGGCAGAAGGTCTGTTACTCTTGTTGCTGTTGAAGTATCGGCTGGTTGTTTAATGAAGTGCACAATGTTTCTTTCTGAAATGTATTTGGCTGTTTGGCTGAAAAGTTGTGGATGAAGTGGACCACATTTATTTTACATACGTATCAGCTGAATATCATCAGTTTTCAACTGAGACGTACATTTTCCGAAAGATTCAGACTCCTGATTCAATGTCAAGAGCGCAGTCTAAACAGTGAAGCATACAAAAAGACAGGCCTGCAAGAGGACAGGATGAAGAGCAGGAGAGGCCCAGCAGCAGCAGCAGCTGTCCCATCTCACAGCTCCTCTGGCTGACCTGTCACATGCTTCTCTGACTTATTCAAGGCAGACACACCATGTCAACAACGTATGAGCTGTGTGCATGGGAACAAATCAGAACATACATACCTCATATTCCCATAAGCGTGACTTATGTGCCGTTCAAATCGCATTACTCATGTAAAAAAAAACAAGGGGGGGGGGCCATATTTAATGCAGGTATGTAAAATGAGGATTTATGGCTGACCTTCATGAGGATACTGATCGGGTCTGCTCCTCCCACTCTTTGACCTCGAGCAGAAAACTATTTCATCATTCTGTCTCTGTTAAAGAAATGTCTACCCACTGCCATCCCACATTATACCTGGGAGATTTTCCACGCCGTGCTGCATGTGGATGGGTTTCACAGCGGCCACCGCTGCCTCTGCACACGTCTGTTCGCTCGCTTGTTGCAAAGAGGCCAGCGGGTCCGCTCGCAGCTGAAAAAAGACGCCACGTCAGTCAGAGCGCTCTGACACGAGCTTGCACAGGCTCAGCAGATGTTAGAGAGGACAACATCCATCATGAAGGCTTTTGCCCTCATAATGGACCTTGTGTTTATCCTCCAGCTGGGTTTTGCTCCCCTGTGATGGATAAGATCATCTCTTTAAGGCACATAACCTGTGACATGATTTTTTTTTTAAAACAACAAAGCTGGAATTGAATTAAAATAGAACAAATGCTGCAGGCAAATATTAGAAAAACAGTGTTTCAGTTTGAGTTTCATAGCTAATCTAATGAGCTAATTAAGTATCAGGTTACCAGCAGCCACAGAGGCTCATTTTGCTCTGGAACCTGATAAGTCAGGGTGGCCCACTGCACAAAGGGAGCAGGAAGTGAACGGTATGAAGAGATGACAAAGAGGAAACCGAGCAGATTTACTGCCGTATGCTCTTTGAGACACTTTTAATTACTACTGGCGAAGTCCAAGGTGGTGATGTGACCCCTTTTTGTAAAGTTTAGGTTAAGCATCCAATCCTCCCCTGAGGCTTTTTTTTTCCAGTGAGCGAAGCGTGAACTTGTGCTCCCCCCTCATATTTGAGAGTGGGGTGTGTTATCTGTCTGTTGTTTTTGCAACACAAGCTGTCAGAAAGCTGTGGAGGTGAATTGGTGTCAGGAGCACTGCCTTCACTCCCGTGGGATCCACAGACACCGGCTTCTGTTTTTTTTTCTCTGAAATGCTTGAATTGTTAGTTCTAGCTCTTTTTTTTGTACCAGATGTTTTGTGCCAGTGGGTTAAACTTCTACCCCACTCAATTTCAGAGGTCAATATCGTACCTCCACTTCCACATTTACCTGAAAGCCATAGTTTTGCTTTACTTTGCAGATTATGACTTTACACACAAACCTACCTACCTCTAAATAGTATGATTTATTAGGTAAAACCACACTGCAATCTAATTATAAAGTTAGTAGTATTAAAATACGAGTTTTTGGGTTGTTAGGCAGGGTGATATTTGAAATCAACACCACATTATTGATGGGTGTTTGTACAATAATGATATACACGATGTCACAATATAACAAATGTATGCTAAATTTCATATTTTATAATCAGTGTATATATCCACCACTCTGAATGGGGCCATTCTGCAGAATGAATACTTTTTATACTTTAAGTACATTTTGCTGATAATACTTCTTTATTGTTAATTAGTGACATTTTGAATGCAGGACTTTTACTTGTAATGGAGTATTATTATTGTTTGGCGTTACTACTTTTACTTAAAATGTGGATCTGAATACTTCAGTCCAGAGTCCAGAAAGTGGGAATGCAACTGTGAAATGTGTGAAGTTGTGAATTGTCAGTGTTCTTTCAAACCTAAGAATATACGAATCACTGGCTTTGTTGTCTGAGGGGATGCAGCTTTGCACATGCTATGTAAGCCAATGGTAGATCTTAATCTTCATACCTATGTGGAAAGTGGAAAGCAGGCAATGACACTGACTTGGAAAAGGTAGACCAAAGTAGAGCCAAATGTATAAATACCAAAGTGGATGGCAACATAAAGAGACATGCAGAAAATGGGCTTTCTGTGTGTTGTCATCCACTCTAATGTACTACTCCAGCAGAGGCTTCAGCCGACACTAAAGCACAGTAAACAATCCTGGTGATGTTTAGTGGGCCTGCCATTTGTGAAAATCCCAGCGTGTATTTGTTCCCGACAGAGAAAGACAAGAGAAAGAAAGTGAAGAAGTGCTGAACAAACACACTTTGTCACTTTTCTCCCCGTGGAGGCACAACAGGCCATATGTCCGAGTGCTCTGCTCTCTCTCAAGAGCTGCCAGGTGGATGATGGGTAAACAGGCTGATTTCCCCAATCCTGCCCAGCCCGTGGGACGGGCAGTGTTTGCGCAGCAGCATGAAGGAATACAGGAAATAGAGGAAATTCCATCATTGCCAGTTGTGCTGGGGTCCCAACCTCCCCCTACAGGGCTCGCCATAGTCTCCATGCAAAGGGCAGCGCTGCTTATTTAAGCTGACTTAATGAAGATGGAGGGAACAGCCACACCCTGGATTTACACTGGGAATTTGCTGAATAAGGGGCATGGCGGTGTGGATGATACTGTGGATGGATGTCTACCTTTAAATATGTCAGCAGAGACACAACCTTCCCACCTCTTTTCTTTATCTCTTTTGGAAACATGTTATAAACACAAGCCCAAACTGGACAGCAGCCGACGCATGCAGACGTTATCTATGACTTACCTTAAGCCCCCTGCTGAATGTTCCAGGAGCGCTAGCCTGTCTTTTTTTTTTTTTTTGAATAATTTCTGCCCTCTTTTATGCTCCCAGCACACGAGCTCAGCCGACAGCCTCTTTGTGAACTCTCGCTAAAAGAATTCTTACTCCTCGTCGGGTCAAGGCCCGAGTGTTTACACAGCGCAGCCGGTGAAGCTCCATGTTGTTTAGACAAGCTTCCAAACACGCAGCCTGGAGGTTGTCCAATTACCCACCCGCTCAGATGTGTGTGTGCCATCACTGCTTTGTACATTCTTCGTTTAACCTAATTTAGAACTTCAATAAAAAAATGAGTACCTATTCTTTTACATATAGAAGGTCTATTTCTAACAATACACTTTGATCTTGCTGTATATGTTGGCAGGTGTGTGTGTGTGTGTGTGTGTGTGTGTGTGTGTGTGTGTGTGTG